TTGCTATCTTGTTTTGCTCACACACATCAAAGGTCAATTTAACTGACACGTTATAAGCTTTGTTCCAGGTTTAGGCAGGGAATGGAGAGGAGTGATAGAACTATTATGAAGAGAGAAGCAGGTTGTGCCTCTGCAGTTCATCCAGTTATATTCATTTTAGACCAGAAAAGTTAAGGCTTCATTTACTTTCCAAGATTTAGTCTAGTCTTCCTAGGATTCTGCCTTTACAAGAAGAGAACATATTTCAAGGATTTCAGAACAGGAAGGTACAGTTGAAAAGATGAAGATTTTTTAAGTCTTTTTTTTCTGAGTTATGATCTAACTTTCTGCATAGAATACATTTAAATGAATAGTAATGAAAGAGGTGGTTATCAGTATGCTTCATTACATGTAACAGTGTAATGCAAATTTAAAATGCTGTGACAAAGAAGATGTAGCATCAGCTATAATTGTGGAAAAATAATATAAATTAATAAGAAGCATCCAAAAAAGTTGGATAATTCTCTTTTTCATATATAGCTTGTATATGCTGTTTTCTGTAACAGTCTTCTGGCTGAACTGTCTTTGTCATGTGATCTAGATGAGACTTCCAGAAATCTTTCTTCACTAGACTCCCTTATATATGTACACTTCAGAAAGCAAAGATTTGTCTCAGGCTTTCTGAACAGCAAAAACTGGATGGATTTTGTCCAACATCCCTTCACTCACAATGAGAAAGTAATGATCATGCTCACCCAGTATTTTGCCTCTTTGTTTTTGCTGTTATCTGAAGAAATAGTCATGGATCAGGACATCAGATGTGCTAGAGGGAAATAATTGCCTCTATTTTAGAGAGCTTTCAACTTAAGTACAGAGAAAGACAAGAGAAATAGTGGAGGAACATATAGCAACAACAGTTCTAGCCAGAAATCTAACAGGCAAATGAATCTCTTCTGTAACTATGAAAAGAGTCTGCTTCACTATTTCCACACCAGTGTCTTTCACAATTAATATACATAGTATCGCTCATGTGTGTAACTTAGATCTAAATTTGCACTTTCATTCATTGTCAATAACCAATTTTCAAAACAAATTATGAATGAAATTTTTTTTAGCTTGTGTATACTGGGAAAAAATAATCTAGTTCAACAAACCGTATTTAGGGCATAATACTCTATGAGTTCTGAGCATAGGTGAGGAGCCAAATTCGGTTTTATTAAGCTGGTATAAACCCAGAGTACTTCTAATTAATTCAAAGAAATTATTCTGGATTCATAACAGTGTTAATGAGAACAGAATGTGGCACAACATGCACAGGCTTGGGATAAAGAGAATCATGACTGATATATTTGATAATGGAGGGGATCCTACACTCAAAGAAATAGTTTAATTAGTGCCATAAAATTTTTACAAATAAAAGAAGAGGAAATTAATGCTTTACTGCATGGAAGCTTTTTCTTTACCTGACAATCTTGTTATTCACAGAAATGGCTTCCAGGTATTTCTTCAGCGCATAATAATTATGGATATATTTCCGAACATAATAGCCTCGCCATCTTTTCTGAATCTAGAGGAAATAAATATTTGCTTAGTATATTCCAAATCAAAAGTTTGTATGTGTATCAAATATCTGCTGTGTTTCCCAAATAATATTGTTTCCTTAAAAGTGATATCAAGTAGAAGCACCAATATGTTTCAATGAAGAAAATGAGGATAGGACGTAACATATTGTACTTAAATGATGATATGAATTTACTATTAAAAGACAACATTAAAAAAATAATGTCAAGTTTTAAACCATTTTATATTGGGGTGTGGCAATGAAAAGAATTGTCTGCTACTGCCAGTGGCATTGCTCTATGTAAGAATGGTAAAAAACAAACAGAAGCAGTATCTTTTTTCAGGTACAACACGCATTCCTTACTGAGTCACCACCTCACCAATATCTTCTGCTACCTTTGTGCTCTGGATATAATCTAAACTGAATAGAAGCCTTCCCAGTAACTCAATGAATCAGGCTTTCTGGAAACATAATTTACAAATTGAAGTTCTTTCATCTCCAATGTAAGGTGATGCATGACTATTTGTTGCACATTAATTATAATCTCACAAAATATTATTCCTCCTGCTTAACAGGTAAAGCTTAAACTGGAAAAAGAAACCTATTTATCTGTAGCTAGTCCTAAAGTTCTATTAAGAATAGAAATTAGGTAGCATCCTCCACCAGAAAGGATTCATATTTTGGTTCATCTTAAAAAGCATCAGTAAAAAACAAAGAGAAAAAAAAAAGACTTAGTCTAGCCTGCCTTTCCCCAAGAATTTATATCAACAAAACAGTTTAAACCTTCTCTGATATTTAAAAATTCTAATAATGGTGTTTCTGAAATGATTACATATTTACTGGCTATCTGTTTTATGGGAAGGGGAAGTAAGTATTAATTAGTTAAAAAATTATCAGTAGTGCCATTTGGTTCACCATATTTGTCCCTATGCCATGGCATGTACAGGCATAAGACGTAACTTGCTCTATTCAGTCATGCTGAAGGCTGCTCTCACTCCTTGTTTTCTTTTCCATAAGAGGTCAGTGTATTCTAGATCAATACATCTGAAAAATAGATTAATGATCTTTTCCTCTGTTCTCAGTGTCTAGTTAGTCTTTCTTTACATTCTTCCATTGCTGAACTTATTAATCTTCCTGCAAAATATTCTTTACTTCTTTCCTTGCATTTTGTCTCCTTTTTTTCTCAATATATTTCTAAATTAATCTCCCAATTTCTATCTTCTAGTCTGCATTACCTTCACTGCTGCTCCAGCCTCCATCTCTTTGACCTTTACAGCTTTGAAGTCTTAAGAGACATAACAGCTGAAAGGCAGAATCTACATTAAAAAAGCAAGAAGATTGAGGTCTTACAATCCAGAAGCAACTCCAAGGTGAGAAGCTACTCACCTTCACTATGTTTACTGAAGAGAAGAATGTTGTAATTTGCTAAGAGCTTTCATTTTCCTGTGGGCTACTAGACTTTTCAAGAACTCAAACTCTTCAGTGTATCTACAGGGAATGTTATTTTTTTCCTTTACACCAACACTTCTCTTTACAAAACCAAGGTATGACTTGGTAAGTGGAGTGCAATCCATGTGTTTGTGTTGGTTTTTTTTTTTTCCTTACCCTATCTCTTATTCCAAAGAAGCATGTAAAAAAAAAGGAAAAAAAGGAGTGTTTCGTTGTGTTTGATTCAGGAAGAAGGCAAGGGAAAAAATCAGCCCATTGCCCACATAATATCAATCAACCTTTGCACTCAGTGACTTCAGAGTCTGTATCATCAAGTCTTGGGAATGCTCTTCAGTAAAAGGAAGAAATCTCTCTACTCCTTCCAGTTCCATTGCAGTCCAATTCTGTACCACTGTGATAACTGACAAAATTTATTGCAATTTTCCATCTCCTGCACTTCCTGAGCTGGAAACAGGAACACACTGGAGCCATCTATAAGCAGACTAACTAAGGCAGGGTTACATATTTTCATACTTTGTACTTTGGTACCATTTTGCAATCACAAAAGCCAAAACACTGTTCTTTAAAGTTAAAACTAGCATTCAGTCTCAACTGATGGCATCTTGTGGTACAGTTGTAATTATCTCTTTATATGAGATTTAAGAAGAGAATAAGTATCACAGGAAAGCTTTCAGTAAGTCTTTGAGTGGAGTGTCATGAAGAAAATAAAATGATGCACTACAGCTATTAGGAATAAAAGGATAGTCACTTTTAGTGTTAGTACACTCTTCTATTTCCCCTTTGTGCATCACCATGTATTTTCCTCTCTTTTCAAGTAAGACTCAGAACTAATTTTAAAAGTTGGCATTTTCCTTTTACCTATGTGTTGTTGTTTGGGGCTTTTTGAATATAAAGGGTTTGGACCTCTAGACATTATTATAATATGAATAAATAATAGTTATGTGAGAAGCTGAACATAGGAACAAGAAAGGTTAAGCACTAGACATGCTTCTTTGCACTAGATGATAGTAAATTTCATACTCTTTGCAATTCCACTTTCTCATACACAAGCTTATTGGGTTAAAAAGGGATAGAGAAAGAGCAAAGAATGAGTATGCCTTCAGAGATCTGGGATTAAGCAAAATCCTTTGCATGTGAATAAGGATCTTAGCTTTGTTTTTCTGTTTGGCTTCAAAATTTCTCAACAAGAGCAACTTGGCTCCCATATAGCTGTGTGCTCATTAATGCAGGATTATGGTCCCTTTGAAACTCTTTCTGACAGTCTTCACCTCACAGTTATAAATGCAGAACTGGATATTTGTGGGTTAAAGGATCAAAACTCAAACTGAAAGACAAAAGACTCAAATTGTACAAAGCCATAATTATCTCCAATGGGCTCAGTGTACCAATTAAATGCTGCATTCTACCTTTATTTACATCACTTTCTGTTCAGAATGACCTCACTGATTTCAACTGAATGAAACATAAGTAAGAAAAAACGCATTGTGTCTCAAATTATTTTATGCTAGATTTCTGTTTCCCTAATAATGTATGTCAAAGATCACAAAACTGAAGACTAATCTTTTTGGAAAAGAGCATTCTACACAAAGCTTCTGATGATGTTCATATTTTCAATGTGTACATTCTAAATGTTTGCTTTTATAAGGAAGTATAATGTGTTACAACTGTATTTCTTTTTAATTCCAAGGTGAATGTTTAAAAAATTATTGAAAAAAAGAGACAAGTGTGTATGCCCTTCAAAGTAATTAGCAAGTTTCAACAGTGATTGGTACAAAACAATTATTGTCATTGATCAGCACTGAACAGATAATTTTAAACAAAGTCATTGTGTGCTCAGCAGATTACAGCTTGTTAACGGGCAAGTTCTAAATGACCTCTTAAGCTAGTCAAATCAATGATGCATATTCCTCATTAAGTAACATCAAAATGTAAGTGGTCTTATAAATAATGTTTATTTTAAGCACTAAAACAAATGGCAAAACCTTGATATAGCAAAAGCCATCTGCTCATGGAAATATTTTTTTTTCCATAGGATTACTTTTGTTGCTGAAAATTTATAGTAACCTTAAATATTTTAAGAGAGAGAATCATATTCTGACGTAGTACTCAGAACTGAAATTGATTAAAACAAGTTCTCTGATTTAATTTAAAAAGGTGAAACTGATAGTTCTGGTTACAACTAAATGCAATCCAGGGAGACAGAGATGTAGACTGACTTCGAAACTATGAGCATGTGTTTGCCCTCAATGATACTCCAATTGCCAAAACCAAAAGTGCCTTTCTAATCAGTGACTACAAAACGAAATAAATATTTTAATAATACTATGAGGCAAAAATAAGCAGTTAAATAGAAAAGCATACACAGTTATCGTTATATTTTCAGAACACTGAAGTGTATTAATCATGAATCAAGCTCACAATGTGTGAATATGAGGCACTGTCAGCTTACAACACCTAAAGTCTAGCCACACATCTTCTGTGCAGAAACCTAACAGGCCTTATTCTCTGTTGTCCTGAACATCGGTTAGTTCTTCAAAAAACAGATGAAAAAAAAAAAAAATCAGTGTTTCAGAATGGTAGCATTTAAATCTTCTCAGCAGATATGGCTGCACGAGATTTAGACAGAGAAGAATCAGATTCTGACATTTGCAACTAAATAAAGATCCGTTCTATTGTTTTCTACTGATTCAAATATCCATTAAAGAGAAGGACATGACTGAAAAAATGGAACTTTGAAGATTTATATCACCTAATGATTCAACATTATATTTCCATTACAAATGAATGGGAACACATTCAATTTCTTTTACAAATGAAAGACCAAATGCAAAACTCCATTTGACTAGAATACATAATTACCTCTGAAATTTGGTCTTCAAATGCCTTCTAAAACTACACGCCAACTTTTAAGAGCTGGCTTGCATCTTGTATTTTCTCACTGATTTCAGCTGCATGAGTATACAGCATTTATCCACTGTGGAATAATTTTAAACTGCTAACTAAGGAATAAACTAAAAAAAAAAAAGTGCATTTCTGAGGAATTAGATCACTGTTAAACACCTTCAGCTCTCTAACATGCACCAAATGTAAGATTCTATTTTGTGCCTTTCAGAGAACTAGCACCATGTCAAAAACTTGATGGGAACACATCTCTTGAGTCTGAGTTATTCTGGAGCCAGAAAGGCCACAAAATTAAAATCCATTTTGGGAATCTTCCTACTTTACAGGAGTTTCCTTGGGTTACTCTCCATCCCCAGCACATTCCTACATTTGGTAGAATTCAAAAGGTAAGATGTCTTGCCAAAATAGATACAGGCCTCTAAAGTAAAGCAGGTTTATTCCAGACAATAAAAGAATTAAGTAAGATAAAAAGATTTCATCCCAAGAATTATCTCATGTCCTTGCCATATTTGTTTTACGTATTTGTCTAAGTGCAGTTCCAAAGCTCAGGAAAAAAAATGTTAATTTCTACTTAAATATATTTTGCAGTTTTCCCTATAACAAACTTCATTTGCTGTATATTTATTAAAGTTCAAGGACTGTTTATACTCTTCATCTAGCAAAACTCACTCATAATATCATCAATGAGATCAGTGCAGTTCCACCTCTACATTTAGGCAATGAAATTGTCCTGTGCTCTCTAGGTAACTCTTTTGAGATTCAATACATCAAATGTCATGTACTAACAAAAGAAAAAGCACAGCCACATTAACGAACTTAAAAGTCCTACAGTTTGTCAGAATTGTAAATATATGTCTACATTTGTAAGAACACTTGCAGATAGAACGTTTGGGGTTTTTATCAGTATCATATATGTTAAGGTACAATGAACATTTAAATGAGGCAAGACACATGTAGATGCCTTAAATTCAGATACAGTTTTCAAATACAACCCCGACTACTGAGTGTAACTTTAATTTTTAACTATGTACTATTTCCCGCTGTTACCATCAGCATATCAATCAAGTGTATATTATTCTGGTTTGCTCATTTTATCAAAAGCAAATTCAGAGCACAATTGACTTTTCATTTGTTTAACAAGTGAAGAAATATTTACCCTGACAGCCATTTCATTGTAGAAATTCATCTTCATAATAAAATATGCTGTCTGTGAATCAAGGAAAAAAAAAAGATGGCATATATTTCAGTTACACAAAGACAGTGCTCCTATTTTTACATATAAAAGATAAGAATCTTTATACATAATACATAATAAGAGTTCTAGGCTTAGAGAGAATAAAATCAAACTTTGTATTGAAGAGATAGGCTTCCTAATACATAATGCAGGCTTAACCAGAAAAATCTATGGTAGTCAAACTAGGAGCTAATGGAGATATATGATCATAAAATGCTCTCCGCTGAGTTTGATAATCAATGGTGCTCTACTGAGAGTAGAATAACAAAGCAGAAATATTCACAAGTGCTGGTGACACGTAGTATTGTATGATTTATTCACTGGGGTTCTTTTAGCCAAAACTCACAGAAACATAAAAGGAATTCATATTTCAAGACGTCTGGTTTAATGAAAAATTCAAAGAAATGCTGTCTTCAGTCGAAATCGTTCAAGGATACGGATGCAGTGATGGAGCAAAATTGTGCCTTCCAACCATCTGTACTAAATGTTATGTACTTAGCTGCCTCCCGAGTAATCCTTGGGAATTTTGTTTCATTTAATATTCATTTTAACATCATAAAATCATAAATACAATGATACCATGTTACAGTGAATCCCCTGATATAGAAAACATTTCCTGAAGTCCTGGTTTCCTTCCAATAAAGTAGAATTCCTCTCATAGTGAACGAATCCCCTATTATACTAAGCAATCACTTGGCAGCATAGGTTATTTTAATGGATACATCACTTTAAACTAAGCTTTCACATCTGTTCCGCCCTCTAATTACAAATGCAAAATGAACATAATTCACAATTGTATCATAAAAAGTAAAATATAAGTACTTTGAATGCAAGAGTATGTCCTTTATTTAGCACAACATGCAGCTTTTATGTGTTTCTCATGTTTTAGACACAAATCAAAGGCAAAAGTGCTTTCCCCTGATATAGTGATTTTCTCCCCCTTGGCAAACAGGAATTCACTATAAAAGGGTTTCACTGTAATTAGTGTTATTTGAATTGCCTAGTCTGATCCAAAGCAAATTGTCTGTGGAGAGCAGCAGGACTGGATTATTTATCAACAGTCTGGGCAATTAAGAAACAGTTGGCTGCAATATGTTATTTACAAATGAACACAATGATGCTACTTCATTTTAAATTCTCTTTCTTCATTACATTAAGCAAGGCATAATTCCTGCAGTTTAATTAAGGTGCATTTTAAATGTTCACTTTAATATCATACCAATCTACTAATAATGGAAACAGTAGAAAAGAAATTTCTTATATGAAAGAAAAATGCAGGACTGCTAAATTTCAAAAAAGTTTCGTGTGTATGTGTAGATGTATACACACACACACGCACACACGTATACATATATATATTGGAGGGAATCTCTGTCCCAAAGGTATGAATTAGAATAAAGAGAGGACGCTATCGCCCCTTTTGTCTCCATCAATGTTTTCTGAGTGATACTAACTCTAGACAGCTAATACTGAAATGAAATAATGGTTGCCGGAGCTAAGTATACTTCTAAACTGTTTGATTAAATGGATACAATTTTGCTTTGCAGCTCATCTTTTCTTTCTTTGGAACAGAATGTAAGAGTTGCTGCACCACCAAATAGATAAAGTACATTTTTAATGGAAATTCCTAAGCTTAAAAATTATCATCAGATTTCTGTCCGCCCATGATTAAACTAAAAAATCTCACACCTTTTTGTTTATTCTTCTCATATTTGAAGGCTGTGAGCACTTAGGTCTGAATCCATCCTATTTCACTGAAGAACCTAAATTGGAGACCTAACGTCATTATGCTCTTCATATCATCAACACTGAAAGACAGTGGACAGCTTTCCCTCTGTGCTTGGCAAAGTATTGAAGAGCTCTGCAATTGCATCTCCGTCTACTATTTACAGAGGCAGTCAATGGCAACTAGGGTGCTAACTTGCATACCTCACTTAGGTGTGACAACTCCAGGCCTTACCTACCACAACTTAACAAAGTCACACACAAATGAAAGGAAACTACACATCCCTGCTTTTACTTAATGTTGTTCTAAATCACAAATCAGCCAAATGCAGAATTGCTCATATAATTGTCTTACAACCTTACCCTTGCACAAAAGCCAAAGCCTGTGCCACCATCTAGGTTCTTCTGCAAATGGATTTGCCCTCTTTTTTCTAATCCTGATTAGAATAATATGTACAAGTGATGCAGAACTTGTTTATCCCTATTTACAAAAGCATAGCCATAATTTAGTGCTTCAACCCAAGTGTATATCTATGTGCTTTCCTAGTAAACAAAAGATTCTTTTCTGAAATGGGGCCTTCTTGTCCAGAAGACTCCTTTCTTATGCTTAAGTGGAATTTCCTGCATGTCAGCTTATGTGCATTGCATCGCTTCTCATCCTTTCACTGGGTGCCAATTACAAGGTGACACTGTGAGGTTGACTCTCTCGCCATCTCACCAACATGTACCACCTCCATTTCTGAACCATCACATCTTTGTGTTTGTCTTTGATGTTAATACACAGGTCTCCCTACTAGTTTAATTTAAGTCTATGATTCCAAAATATATTTGAAGCCCTTTGTGTTTGTTTAACAGTATAAACTGTTGTACTACTTTGTCCTTTCTGTTTAAAAACATGTTTGGGGATCACCTACAAATGTGATCTGATCCAGATTGGTGTATTCTTTTTCTTTAAACAGTTAATACAAAGTGACAAAATCAAAGGAGAACCAGAAATTTAATTGACAGTAGATTGAGAGAAGGAACCAACACATGGTCTAAGTTGGGAACGGGCACTTTTTTCTTCTTTTTTTATAAAGCAAATAGGCATTTGCCTAATTCCTATTATAATGGCACTATTTAAAACCGGTTACCGAGCTGAAGCTAAACTATTTAGGATGGTGTCAAACTACATCACATAAAACATTCACTTTTTTCAACTGTTTCTCCTTCCAAAGTGAGCTGAAAATATGGCCATTATGTATGCTAACTTCATATAACAATGAAATGTTACAATTCCATTTGCCTTAACAAGTGATTTCTTGACTTTGAGAAATATTGTAAAAAGAGACATTGACATACAGTTTGATTCATGTTCTGGTGTTTGCCTGGTTTTAAAATTCATACTTTCCTGCAGGTCACACAAGACTTTCAGAATCCAGTACAACCAATGTAACTAAGTTATTAAGAAAATTGTAGGAGTGCAGTTCTTAATTTTAGCTTGAGATTAATATTAGGAAACAAAGCTTTATACCAAAGCACCTATATTTAGAATATGGAAAGGCACATTACTTTAGTCACTTTTTAACTTACTCTATCAAAGGAAGAGGCACTAGAGGAGTAACAAATGAAATACTAGTAGTGATGCACATATGGACAGCCAATCTGATGAGCCTCAGCCTTTGTTATTTTCCGCATCAGTACCACTCACATTTCACAATTTTGAATATAATCATTAAAATGATTTATTGTCAAGTAATCATGGGTATTTTGTGCATATGCTTTGCCTTGTTTGCTGGCAGCAGATACCAATCCAGTCATTATCAGTGGATAAATTTTAAAGTGACCATTTTTTTTTTTATTTAAGGAACTATCATGTCAAATGTATCATTGTGTTTCATAATCAGGAATCATTACAACAGTTATTAACAAGAGTTCAATGCAAACATTAACTGATCCTTTAAAATAAAAGTTGCATTAAGCTGCTGAGAAGATTTTTGTTTCTTTTTAAAATATTCCAAATTCGGTCATTGGTCAAGTAAAGATAGTATAACAATAAATACAGGGAATGAACTTGAACTTTATACTTAAGCCCACCCCAAAACATACAATACTGAATATAGCAGTCTAAAGGGAGAAAACAGTGCCTTCCATGGCTTTCAGGTTGGCTTCCAATCAGGCTGTCCTATTTAGTCCTCTCTAATCAAAGAGATGGCAAGCACAAAAGGAAGCATTTGGGGGGAAAAGATGGTTTTCTATGCTGATTGCTGTACAGTTCGTAAGCGTGCTGATGAGATTCTGTTCCTCTAGAGCCCTGGCTAATATTAGATAAGTACTGGTATCCTGAATTCATGGTCTGATTTTGAATGTGTATATTAGATGTGGGCTTGCACAACTTTTTGTCCTACGTTATTCCACAGACTTCAGACTTGGCAAGGGCTTGTCAATTACACCTACTTGAAGAACAACATATGAACCAGGCTTTATCGGTTAAAGCCTTTTTTTAATTATTTTTATTTTCAGAAATATATTTCAAGAATGGAAAGCTGAGGGGGTTTTATGATGCTAGCTATCTCGGCTTGGTTATTACAGGATATCTGTGCTAATTTTAAAGACTGTTTACCTTAAAATATAACTGTCAGAGTATTTTTTAAGAAGAGAGGGCAAAAGAAGGAAGAAGTAATAAAGAGATGTGGTAAAAGACATCCAATTTCATAGATGCATGGAACAATTGAGGTTGGCAGGGACCTCTGGAGCTCCAAACCATTGCTCAAAGCAGGGTCAATTAGAAGAAGTTGTGCAGGACCTTGTTCGTTTGGGTTTTGAGTACCTCCAAGCACGAAGACTCCACAGGTACAGCTTGCACTCTCTGAGCAAGCCATTCCAGTATTTGATCACCCTCACAGTAAAAAAAAGTTCTTTCTTATCTTTGAGTGGAATTTGCTGTATTTCAGTTTGTGCCCACTGCCTCTCATCCTGTCACTGGGCACCAATTCCAAATGCCCTTGCAGGCTGGCTCTCTGGGAAGAGTTGTCTTGCCATCTCACCTACAGGGCACCACTTAGAACAGTGCAATCAATGGACAGTAGGCATGGTGCTGATGTGTTCATTTTGTATCTTATCTGGGCACCACTGTTTTTACAAACTTTATATATAAAAATAAGTCTCTGGGGTGACATAATTCTGTTTAAAATAGGAAACTGATTACAATCAAGAAAGAAATTAACATTTGAACATGGGGTGGCCAAAAGATTGCTCCTTACAATTTGGGGGGACTGAAAAATGTGTAAAATGGCCACCATCAGATCTTTGTCCTGCTTCAGCCCTCTTAAAGACCTAATGATCAGATGCCAAAAACTGACATAGTTCTTATTTTTATCTTGAAAAACACAGAAACACATAAGTCACCTTGTTTCTGAAGTAAGTCACCACTCTACAATGTTTTAACTGTGAAATAAAGCAGAACTTGAGGGGACGTCATGAGATGACTTCACCTAAAACATTGCCTGAAGCATATCTAAGCCATCCATGATAAGCATTTGTCTAACCTGCTCTTAAAAACCTGCAGTAGAGGGAGTTCCACAACATCTTTTGGCAGTATGTGTCAATGTTTCACATGAAGTTGATTTCTTCCTTCCCTTCTCCTAGTGGCTGCACGGATCCTTTCTTTTCATTAACAAATTTTGACATACATTAACATTACCACATTTCTCTTCTTCTATAGCAGCTTTTCTAGATTAAACAAACCTTCCCTAAACTCAGGGACAATATTCAACTGAAGTCCCACTTTTTCTAAAGCAGAACCCAATCCAACCATGCAGCTGTCTGCCCTGTATTCAAAAATGAGTGTTTTAGAGGGTAGATTGAAAAACCAGAATCTGAGAGGATGACTCATAATTTATTAGTTAAGCCAAGTAACTTGGAAGAGATAAAATCTTTAATTACATTAATGATAGACTTGGGGGAAAAAATAGACAAGCTTTCAGGCACACAAGTCCTGCTACTTGAAAACATAGGTACAGACTTTAGCCTGTAATATATGAGTTATTATGGTTCATTTGTTTTGCTTTTTCCTGACTTGTCTGTTTTGACTGAAACACAACAATTTAACAAATTCAATCAAGAATAAACGACTAACAAGTTTTAAACTATTGTAAAATATTAATGTAAATTGATAAATTAGTGAAGTAAACTATATACTAAAAACTTGATTGGTTTATGTTAAAGACAAATCAGTTTCTCCTTAATCTCCTAAACCTGTTAACAGAGGGTTTAGCTTGTGTGTTATCATACATTTTTGCTATCTTCAAGTCCGTCAAGGGAATTAGATTGACTGTGATCTGCCGTGTGCCTTAAGGCAAAACCTCAAATACTTCAGGGTTCATTAAGTAAGACATTTAAACCACTAAAACATAGAACAGCCATGTGTAGACACATGGGCTTATTTTATTTTCAGACTTAAAAGTTCTGCCAGGAAAAAAAAAACATCTTGAAAAGCTCCAATCCTGCAATTAGCATCATGCGGGCAGGCTTCTGCATGAGCACATCTCATTGCTGGTTTGGGGACTAATACTCCAGAGCTGCAAACACTTAAACACTGACTTAACTTGACCGTTATGAGTAGGCTTACTGAAATTAATGGTGCTTTTCATGATAGTAAAGTTAAGTACATGTCTGTGTGTATAAAGGATCAAGTTTCAGCTTTTTAATTTCCAGATGAGTGAATTAATTACTTTATATGTATTCTATAAATAACCAAACAAAATTCTTAAAACTAGTTTTCTACCTCCACCATTCTTCTGAAGTATCTTCTGGCTTGATAACCTCTCCACCACTTCTGTATAAAAATCACCATTTTATTCAGATATCTAAAATGAAATATATTAACAAATTAATGAGACTTTACAATATAACTTTATTTTTCCTAATACTAAAAATAATGCGTATAATGTGTTATCCTTACTTATTCCAAACAGATGGCCACTGCAAACATACTTTATACATATATATATGTGTGCATATATACATATGCACAGACATACACACTTATAAACCAATATATACATATATTTATATATACACACACACACATACTTTGCTTTTGGAAAAAATAGGTTATTGCAAACTTGCCTATATACTATTTCAGATATCATTACAAAAGTTTAATGAAATAGCCTTACAAATGTAATTTGCATGATAGGTGATTGTTTTTTCATGAATGGGTTTAACCAATATATCTCACCAGTTCAGAATTTTTTCAGTCACATGCAACATTTTCACAGCTTTGCAATTTTTAAGTATTTGACAAAACCCATAGATATGTGGAAATTTTAGACTACTTTTTTGCTTTTATAAAATTACACCTAGCTTAATTGGAAATAAATATTTACCCTATCCTTATTATATATACTTTATTATTCTACTAAAAAATCCATAATTGATGTCTCGCATCAATTTTGCAGAAAATAATGCAAACATTACTTTGGGACTACCTAGAAAAAGCTATATAGGGAAGCATTCGTACCACCTAACTATGGACATCAAATTCAGAAGCCTTGCAGTACAGCTAGTGTCACTCAGTGGAGGCAGTCTTTTCCATCAGGTAATTCAAAGGACCTAAATGAGAGGGTAATTCAGAACACTGACAACTGGCTATATTGAGCCTGTGCTCCTAAGTCAGACACCACATTCATCTTTGGAAAGAGGGCACTGAGCAGGATCACTCTGTACACAGTTGCAGAGAAAATCCTCTTCTACACTCAGCTGATTTAGTTCTTCTTACATGCTCATTACAATTACATTGTTCTTCTTACATTGGTCATTACTAAATATAAATGTGTGCTTGGAAGAGCATTTTCCTACAGAATAGATTGTCAAAGAGGCTTGTGTTTTCAATTCTGTAGTATGCTGTTGTTCACTCATGTAGTAGAAACAGGGGGGCACTAACCAGTCCTCTGTCTTAGTAGGGGCTTTTGACATTGATGGCATAGCTGGTATTCCTTGGAGGGCTGAAATACCCTGTTTGTTTGCCTACTGAACACTTGCATGTGATGGGTGCATCCTGTGACAACACACTTGAACCAGCAATGGAAAACAGATTACCAGTGCTTTTTTTAACAAGTGTATGTAATGGCTGTAGCCTATCTTTTTTTATGAGGGAAATACTGGCCATGAAGTGATTAATGTTATTTAAAGTAATAATTCTTCAGGCTTGATACAGTATGTCTGGATGATACAAAATGACTTCCCACAGGTCAAACTAGAAGATGTAACTTAGAATCCTTATCCCTCACAGCCTTTATTTTTATGAAGGTACAGAAATTCAAGCATATGAGTTTGACCAACTGGGCTTATGATCATAAAAAATGGAGGAGGGCCTCCTCAGAGAAGGGACATAGTGTTTCCGAAAAATTTATATCAATGTCAATCTGGCATTTTACAGAACAAAGTAATTGTACATGATCTCTGTTTTATAAATGGAAAAAATTATGTAAAGAAAGACTTTTTAAAATTACCTAGTCAAAGCCAGCAGTAGAACTTAATTTTCTACAGTAAGAATCCAGTTACCATACACTCACTAGGCAATTTTTCTGTAACGTCCACAATAACAGAGATAAGAAAAGTCTCTGCAAACAGCCTATCTGAGGGATACCTTCTTTTTTTCCAGTCATGCCAAGATTTCTTAAACAATGCTGTGCATCTGTTCTGAAGATGGATTATTTCCATGCTACTTATTAGCATCATGCCATGATTTTAATTTTGTGCTGTTCTGAAAATAAAAAAAAAATCTTTCTTACAGTGGCACAGCATATATTTAATTCTATTTAAAAGCAGAATAACAGGGTTTTTTTTTCTAAATGCTCCCATTTTATTAAAATCAAGTAATACCATGAGAAATTTGGGGGAAAAAAATCAAGATTGAAATACAGAGTAAAATAGGCTTAATATACTACCTCAGATAGGCTCGGACTCTGCATCCTCGAAACCAGCTCTGTATTTTGACAGCAGCTTTGTACTCTATTTTTCTCTCTTCATCTACAGATCTGAAAATATAAAAAGTAGTAATATTTGTCAGCATGGTAATTTAGTACCAAAGCAGAAAAAATCTTCTAAATATGTCCTATTGTTGCAGTTTGTGATCTTTTTCACCAGGTTTTTCACTTTTTAATTCTACACCATTCAATAATAGTGCAGAACAATATAATCTACATTAGTTGCATATTATGAACATAATAAAGAATATCACAACTTATAGATGATGAAAGGTTTGGGAGAGTGTACTTCTTATTCCTATATAATGCTGAATGTCCATGTCAGCATGTCACGGACTTCTTCCATTGTAGGTGAAATATATGGGTAATGCTTTATTGATAACTAGGCCTGAATTATAAGAAAATCCTGTAGCTATGTATAAAATTGTATATCTGCATGAATATTAAATAAATTAACTGTGGTCAATATCATGATAAATATCAATTGAACTAATAAGAAGCATATATTAAAGGTGAGATCTAGTTCAAATACCTTGTTTTATGACCTATACAAAGTATTTTATTTGTTTATTACTGAACAGTGATAGCATTGATAATGGTGAGAGATACACTTCTTGTCTGTAGATTTTTTTAATGAATATAAGTTGATCTTACAGGGTGAAAGTAGAGGATTTAGACCTTTTAGCTAGTTTCTTAGGAAGGAATTTAAAAGGAGAAATATGAAAAAGAAGAAGAGGTGACTGAAGGAAAGTGAGATACAAATGTAAGTTAAAACTATTGAGTTGGAACAGTGAAAGCATAGGAAAGAAACTAGATATGGAAATTTCCAAACTTCAGAAGGCCTGGAATACCAGGGTACAAAATCTTAGTGTGGCTTAAAAGGAAGTCAGGAATTGGAAATAAATGGTGTTAGTAATTTGGATAGATTCCAAAGAATCATAGAATTGTTTAGGTTGGAAAAGACCAAAAAAAGGGATGACCATGGGAATTTTTTACATGGAATTATAGTAGTCCATGCAAAAGCTTATTGAGTCTTGACAAAACTTTTCACAATGGGAATTCAAAGACACAGATTTTGGAGATAATGTAGAAATGAAACTGGCAGCATATTGGCATGTGTTGCAGACAGGCAAGGAGAAAACAAAAGGAAACAAAAGAATTAGAAAATATGCTAGGATTGCAGCATTGATGAATATAGATACTAGAGGAACTAATGAAAAAGGGAGGACACAGAGAAAGCTGAAGAATTTGTTTTTAAGTTACATGAGAAGTAAAGATAACTAGAAAGAGATACCGGTGAGGCAGCTGAAGATGAGAGATAGAGGTAGGTGGAGAATTGCTGACTTCAAGGAGACTTTCAAGAACTATTAGCTGTCAAAGCTTTGTATCAAACGACATAGTACAAGGCAAAGGCATGTGCATAAGTGGGAAAGAAGCAGAAGTAAAAGGACCTCATCAGAAAGTCAGAAAATAATTCCAAGGGATAGTCCTTGCTTGCCTTCTTTCTGTCACTCTGTCTATCAGGAGAATAGTGTTTGGGACAAAGCTAAAAGACATGCAAGGAGAACCATGAATGTGAAAGAGATTAAAGAAATATATGAATCTGGAAAAGACTTTTCAGAAAGTTCAGAAAGAAATCATTACTATAATGAGTTTCAATGCTGAGGTGTAGAACCCAACTATGAGATTACCTCTAGCTTTTATTTACTTTTTTGTTTGTTTGTTTCCAAATGTCAATAACTGTCAAGTCTTTGAACTTAAAATTATATTTTCATTTTCATGGGTTTTTTGCTATCCCATTTTTATTTGGATTGTATTTACCAAATAATTTGATTTTTTACACCTGCCACAAAAGACCAATTAGGTTATTAGTTAGTTTTCTTAACTAGTTGATATTAGTTAGCTCTTCTAACAAAGTGTTGTGTCAACATTAATTGCCTCAGTAAACACCAACAAGATTAATTTTTATCTATAAATTAGGATTATCCTCATTATATTTCTTGAAAAACAAAACAGGGATTTACTACCAGAGATCAAGAAGCATTAGCTCCATTCATTTTATATCATCTGGTGCAGCATGTGCTCTCAAATAACATTAAGTTGGCACAAATTTTCATTGTCATCTGAAATACATCAGACCTGTCCAGTACCTGGAAACTGTGGAAAACAGACTTGTTTGCCTAAGACCACAAAATAAGTCAATATCAAAGCTACCATTTATGCTAGAGAGCTTCCTTGTTCATTTCTTGTGCAGCTTACTAGCCTTCATAGGAAGCAGACACCTCCAGAATACTTTTAGCTAGAGGTAAATGATTTTGATTAAAAGGGTACGAGCAATTTGGCCCTGGTCAGGCAGCCACGATTACAGCCTGGAAATAAAGGGCATGTGGGACTGGCAGTGTCAGAAGTGACAGCTCCAAAACCAGTCCTACCCACTTGGCAATGGCAACAGTCTGCTTCTGGAAGAGTAGAAGCCCTCTCCTCTATTAGGTTTTTTTAGTTGGCTTTCTGTCGTGCCTGGCTGAGTCAGTTCAGAAGTCTTTGTAAAGTTTATTGAAGCAGACCAACAACAGACTTGTTTTTCTTACAGTATAGTTCCACAAACACTTTCAGCTGGCCTTGCCAGCAGAAGAAGTGGTTTGGGGTGTAAGTTGCTCAAGCCGGTGTCTGCCCTTCTGATCAGATTGCACAGTTGTCACACTGTTTGAATTAAGCTTTTAGAGTCAGATACTTCTCAAAGGCTTTACTGAGTGTTAAAAAGGCATACTCGAAGCAGCATCTGATGTATAGATGCTACAGTAGATAAAATTAGGTTCTGGAATGAGTAAGTGATAAAATTGTTTAACACTTAAAATAAGAGAATGCACTAACAGATGCTGTATATTCTAATGTTTATCTTGACAGTGTATTTTTCAAGGTGCAGGCTTATGGCATTTTTGCGTTGTGCCATCATTGGTCAAGTTGTTCCCCAGAAAGGTGCTTTCCCTAAAAAGACACAGTCAGTTTAGGAGACCTTATACTTCTGACGTAAACAAAGTTCTGCATAAAGCATGACAGGAACATTACTGAGATCAGAAAAATGTTACTAAGATCAGGTAAACCTGTCTAACCACAACCAACAGGCAAGATACTACTGTCATCAACCCACCCTAATTTTTAATGGAACAGGTGTAGAGTCCTAAAATAGCAAATGCATTTTGAAAGATAAAGGAAGTTTTCTAATTTTGGGATATGCTTTAAGGCGCTTCAGTTACTGTCTTCTTCCTGCAGCAGTAATTGCTAGCAAGAGTACTGTGTTGGGTTTGTGTGGCAAGGTTTTGGGGGGGAAGGGGAGGCTCAGGGGTGGCTTCTGTGGGAAGCTGCTAGAAGATTCCCCTATGGCTGATACAGCCAATGCCAGTCAGCTCCAAGACGGACCTGCTGCTGGCCAAGGCCAAGCCAATCAGCAACAGTGGTAGCACCTCTGGCATAACATATTTAAGAAGGGGAAACAAAAAACCCCAATAGGACACAAACTGCAGCTGGAGTGAGAATATGTGAGAGGAACACCTCTGCAGACACCAAGGTCAGTTAAGAAGGAGGGGAGGAGGTGCTCCAGGCACCAGAGCAGAGATTCCCCTCCAGCCCGTGGTGAAGACCATGGTGAGGCAGGCTGTCCCCCTGCAGCCCGTATCTGCTCCATGGTGGAGCAGATATCCCCCTGCAGCCCATGGAGGACCCCATGCCGGAGCAGGTGGATGTGCCCGGAGTAGGCACACACCCCATGGGAAGCCTGCACTGGAGCAGGCTCCTGGCAGGACCTGTGGAGAAAGAGGAGCCCATGCTGGAGCACGTTTGCTGGCAGGACTTGTGACCCTGTGGGTCACTCCACCATGCTGGAGCAGTCTGCTCCTGAAGGACTGCGCTCTGTGGAAGGGACCCATGCTGGAGCAGTTCGTGAAGACCTGTAGCCCGTGGGAAGGACCCACATTGGAGAAGTTCATGGAGGACTGTCTCCCAAGGGGGGGGCACCATGCTGGAGCAGGGGAAGAGTGTGAGGAGTCCTCCCCTGAGGAGGAAGGAGCGGCAGAGACAACGTGTGATGAACTGACTGCAACCTCCGTTCCCTGTCCCCCTGCGCTGCCTGGGGGGAGGAGGTAGAAAATTCAGAAGTGAAGTTGAGCCTGGGAAGAAGGGAGGGGTTGGGGGGAAGGTGTTTTAACATTTAGTGTCTCCCAAGGGAGGGACCCCATGCTGGAGCAGGGGAAGAGTGTGAGGAGTCCTCCCCTGAGGAGGAAGGAGCGGCAGAGACAACGTGTGATGAACTGACTGCAACCTCCGTTCCCTGTCCCCCTGCGCTGCCTGGGGGGAGGAGGTAGAAAATTCAGAAGTGAAGTTGAGCCTGGGAAGAAGGGAGGGGTTGGGGGGAAGGTGTTTTAACATTTAGTTTTTATTTCTCATTATCCTGCTCTGATTTGATTGGCAATATATTAAATTAATTTTCCCCAAGTCGAGTCTGTTTTGCCCATGATGGTAATTGGTGAGTGATCTCTCCCTGTCCTTTATCTTGACCCACGAGCTTTTCATTATATTTTCTCTCCCCTGTCCAGCTAAGGAGGGGATTGATAGAGCGGCTTTGGTGGGCACCTGGCGTCCAGCCAGGGTCAACCCACCACAAGTACTTAGTTCTCACCAGGGTTGCTTTAAGTCAAGCTGCTCGGGAGGGTCTGTGTGTTGTAGATGTTCTACAGAATTCTGCTTTTAGGTCTTGATAGATAGGTGAAGAAAGAACTGTTTTTCTTTTGTGTTAAAAAGTGTTTGACACACATGGAACGAAATCCTGCATGTCTTACCCTTGGAGGTATTTGCAAACAGGGCAACTCATACAAAAAAAGGTAAATACTTGGTAATCTATACTCTTCTGCACCTTCTGATGCTTCAGATCAGCTCAGATCTTTTGGGGAATCTGGTATTTCATTGATGAATACTGACTTTATAGAGTAAGTAACCGCATTTTTACAGTATCGTGTATTTTTATCTGAATGCTCTCAAGTTATTTGTGAATGATGAGT